GTTTAATTTTTTCTTTCAACTTTAACACTATGTTTTTTTCTTCCAAATCGAACATCATTTTTTCCAATTTTGTTCAATGTTGACAATTTTCTATTAGAAACCGTATAAATATTTTTTTAATACTTTTAAGCCGTATAAATATGTTTTTTTTTTCATTAAAAACCATAGTTTTGTATAAATACATATATTTTTTTTACACTCAAACCATATTTTTATGTATAAATATGTATTAGTTATATAAAAGTTGTATTTTATATTAAATAGGCAACTTTAAAATGTGTTTTGAGGTTTGGAAGCGTGTAGTCGATCAAAACTTGGATATCAAGTTTGCAACGCATCAAATTTTTACATCTTATTAGAAGTTTATGGTTAATTTGATTCTCATGATATAACTAATGCTTTGAATGTAAGAAAAAAAACACATTGTATTTAAATAAAAATGTGGTTTTTTAAATGAAAAAATATGTTTATACGGTTTAAAAAGTAATAAAAAAAAATATTTATACGGTTTCAAATGGAAAATAGAAAAAATTAAACAAAATTTGATAAATGATGTTCGATTGGAACAAAAAAAAACATAGTGTCAAAATTGAAATAAAAAATTAAACTTAGTGTTAAATTCGAAAAAAATTGAGAACTTAGTGTTTTTTGTGGAAAAAAATTAATTTTGCTACGTCAGCATATCATGTCAGCATGCGACGTCATCAAAACTGACACGTAATCATGTCACGTCAGCATGTAACCTGGTTAACCGGTAAAGTGGTCAGAATTGTAACAAACTGGAAAAGACATTGCCAAAATTGACACAAAAAAAACACAGTGTCAAAATCGAATTTCTGCGTAAAAAAAATATTTTTTGTGCCATTCCTTAGTAATTCACTACCAAGTTACATACTGAAATAATTCCTCTTACAAGTGAACGATCGTTTACTTCACCCTCAATCGTGTTGGAAGATATAAGCTAGCCAAGGGCAAATTGGTATTTATCTATTTATAAACAGTAATTACTAGTATGCATTAGTTATTCCCTATATATAGTAGTTACTAGGTTTGTATCGTTGTCATTGCAAAGGTGCCTTGAATGGGTACTTTCTCAAAAGGGATAATGACTTGAAAGGGTAACGAACTTTCGACTTTTGTCACATTTAGTCACTAAACTTTTTTTCGTTATCTATTTGCCATTGAACTATTGAAACTGTTCATATTTTACCCTTATGACCGGCTATTACCGGTCATAAGGGTAAAATGTGAACAGTTTCAATAATTTAGTGGCAAATAGATAACGAAAAAAAGTTTAGTGACTAAATGTGAACAAAATCGAAAGTTCGTTTCCCTCTAAAAAGTTCAATGACTAAATGTGAACAAGCTTCCTATTGTATTATGTTTTAGCAAATTATTTATTTTTGTTTTATTGTAGCAATATTTGTTGATGAAGAAATCTATGAAATAAAAAAACAAAATGTAACATCCGGATTTCCAAGTATCATAATTTAAGTATTTTTCTTTTGAGTTAAGAAGAGAGACTTGACGAGTTGACGCCTCAACTCGTCGAGTAAGGTCGCGACTGATGACTCGGATTAATGAATGGACTTGACGAGTCGGTGAGGCGACTCGACGAGTCCGCGTTGTTGGCAGAAACCCTAAATCTTTGGGCCCGAGCCATATTTAAAGGCACTTATGGCCTTCAATTGCGACTACCTTTCCCATAAGTGAGAACCCTAGCGAGCTTGAGTGTGTAGAGTGAAAGGAAGAGCTATCTTGAGCTTTTTGGTGTGATAGATCTAGACCCTTCTAGGTCCAGAGAGCCGAGAATATGAAGCTTTAGTAGAGTAAACCTTGGGGTTCGAAGTTAGGAAGCATTTATGGTATTTTTATGGTATATATAGTTATTTTCATTTTACACATAAATATGAAGTATTTTATATGAATTACGTGCTATGTGTGCATATTATTTGAATACTTGTTGTCTATGTTGGATGAACGATTTTATACATGTTTTAAAAGATTTAAACGGTATATTTATTTTATATCTACAATTATGTTGCGGATGAAACATGGGTAGATGAAATAGTTGGTGTGTGATTAAATAAATTGATGAGAGATAGGTGATGATAGAAAGGTGATGATAATTAGGTAAATAGATGGTGATGAATATGTGATGTAGGATGAAAGGAGATACCATAACCTTAACCGACAATGTGGCGATGTAGTCATCTACCAGAGTATAGATGGTGACCACGGACTATTCTAGACAACCTAGTGGAAACACCAGCAGGCCCATAACATGTAGGTGATGAATTACGAGTTCAGGAGATGTTGTAACTACGTATTCATGTGATGATACTCTAACCCCTTACTATGAATTACGAGTTCAGACGATATTGTAACTACATATTCATGGGATATCACAAATTCCGCATGCCAAACTAATGGTCATAATTCACATCAGTGAGAATGGTTCATTTTTTTGTAAAACCAAAATCAAATTGGAAATTTTGATTTTTTATTTTGGAAAATGTCAAACCATTGGTTTTTTTTATTTCGGTTTTGGTTTTTTGTTTTTTTTTTAATATATTTTCAGGGTTCTGTTTTATTTTTTTTTTTTTTTTTTATTTTTTTTTATTTATTTTTTTTATTTCATAGATTTCTTCATCAACAAATGTTGCTACAATTTAACAAAAATAAATAATTTGCTAAAACATAATACAAGAGAAAGTTTATTCACATTTAATCATTGAACTTTTTAGAGGGAAACGAACTTTCGATTTTGTTCATATTTAGTCACTGAACTTTTTTTCGTTATCTATTCACCATTGAACTATTGAAACTGTTCACATTTTACCCTTATGACCGGCAACAGCCGGTCATAAGGGTAAAATATGAATAGTTTCAATAGTTCAATGGCAAATAGATAACGAAAAAAAGTTTAGTGACTAAATGTGACAAAAGTCGAAAGTTCGTTACCCTTTCAAGTCATTATCCCTTCTCAAAATATTGCAACGGGTATATATATATATATATATATATATATATATATATATATATATATATATATATATATATCTTTACTATCTTATAAAAGAAATCTAACTATTTCTAAAAATAGATTGATTATAATAATAATATTTTTTTTAAGACGTCCAAATGATGATGCTGATAGTACAACTAGCCATTAATAAAATAATATTAAATTTTAACCACATTTTGAATTCAAATATTTAGCATCAAATCTCCTTATATTTCTCAGCAATTTGATATGGTTCCCTCAAATCCCGGATTCATTCAAATTTTGAACTCTTTTCGATATCCTTAAATTTAGCATGTTAATTTAAATATCCCTCCAATCGCAGATACCTCTTTGTTCCCTTGTCTGCTATAAAGCCCACCGTTTAGGAATAAAAAATGACTTCATCTCCCAAATAACACCATAGTTTGATTATTTTGTCTTCGACATGTACTTTCTTTTGTAACATAACATTTTTGTAGAGGAAACATATCACCGAAAAAATTTACACACCCCGCCGCTTTGCGCGGGTACACTGCTAGTATATATATATATATATATATATATATATATATATATATATATATATATATATATATATATATATATATATATTATCCTTTGTATCAGAAAACGGTTGATTGAAGTTAATAAAAAAAATAGTTTGTACACGTTTCTCTGTGTTGCAAAGAAAACCCACTGCGGTTTTGATCCAACAAATCGTTGGTATGTCGATATCCAACTATCTTCTACAGTTTATATTTATAATATATCAATGACTGGATTTTTCAGCCAAAGAGGGGACATGATAACAGTCAGATAATTGGATGAGATCATATAATTAAGGTGTTGTAAGAATCAATTTACTAGATATAGTGTGGATCAACTTTTACCACCAGTTACTCTAAAATAACAAAATGTATAAAATGTATTTTTGATAAACAGAAAATAGTTTGGTGGTTAGGTTTGTTTGTTATTTGGAGAAATCCGTATTATTTAAATAGACAAATAATCGGGCTACATGATTTGGTCATTTGGATTTATGAATTGATTTGGATTAAAAATGAACTATTATTTTGAATTTCATATATTGTTTTCATTACTAAAATAAGAACCCAATACTAGATTTGTATTTTAAATATATTAGAAGAACTACCAAATAAAAAAATCTCAATACATATGTACTTTTTTCTCAAGCGTCTTTGTATGTATCATAATAAATTATATTGTTATTTCAAACTAAATGATTTATTTTTATTTCTTTATTAGTAGATTTTACGAAGAAGAAGGCAAGGAATTAGTATATATTTAATTAAATGTGAATTTAAATAATTAAATTTATTTAAAAGGTATTTAAAATTGACATCTCAAACTCATTAATATTCTAAGTTATCTAAATTTAAAAAGATCTCTTTAAAGATCAAATTATGAAAACCGATCAAGCTGAAATAGAATATTATTGATTCGATCAGATAGTTTAATTTTCACTATTTAAATTCAAATGCAAATCATTTTAGATTCCGATCGGATCTCATTCGTTCAAACGAACTCTTTTATTTTGAGAGAAAGACCAAAAGCGCAGCAAACCTACGTCGATGTCAACCCACGTGTCTTAATGTTATCCAAAGCCCATACTCTAAAGGGACAGATGTTATTCAATTGGTGTATATTCCTGTACATGGAACTATTCTACGTGCCCCCCATACATGAAACCCAAGGAACCTGTTGGCTATTTATCTCATGACTCACCACTTTTTCACCATTTCAAGATGGCCAGATGAAGGAACCTCAATTAAAAAAAACAACAACGACAAAACACATAACTCCAGCTCTATAAATATATCCCTTCCATCGATCATTTCTTCATCTCATTACAAAATCGCAACTCTACAACTCATAACCAGAATTCCTTGTTTCTCACTCACAAAATGGCTTCTGTAAACCGTATTTGGATGGCTGCCGGCGTAGCTGTTGTAAATGGACATACAGATCAAGGCTACAAACTTAAATCTCTCCTAATCAACTCCTTCCGCCATGGAAAGAAGGCTTTCACCTCCGATCTCCGTCCATTTTTCGGCGTTTTTCTACGATCAAACGTCAACGTCGGAGAAAGGAACATAACACAGTCCGATGAGTCTTTCCGGCAAGTCATGTACTTTAACTGCTGGGGCCAAATTTGAAGATTGGTTTGTGAGTGAATCGTAAAAATGGAATTGGAAGCTTTCTCGACGGATGAGGAATCGATGATGCGAGTTAAGTCTGGTTTTAGAGTTTGGGAGTGGATAGTAAAATGGATGTCATTTCCTGGAAGAAGAGGGCTAAAAATTGTAAATATTATTGGCTCTTGATTCTCGATTTTTGTATCCAAGACAATGTACCTTTTTCTCAATAGAACTTTATTGAAAGTTGCTTTTCTTTTAAAGATATTCTTCATTATTAAAGTATCAATTAAGATATCTAACATTTCTCTTCTTACCGAAATGTTATGTTTATTTTCATACAGTTTTACCATCTCTTCTGCAATGCAGTTTTTAGTGGGTGTTTGATATACCTTTTGAAATGTCTAAAAGTTATTTTAGGAAAAGATTAAAAGTTCTAAAAAGTTAAGAAAAATTGAATTTTTGTAACTTTTTGGATAGAAAGAAAATAAACTTTCTAAAAAGTTAAGAAAAATTGAATTTTTGTAACTTTTTTTTTTTGGCGATCACCCCTGAATATTATATAATAGACAAAACTACAAAAATGTTTCTGCCCCTAAATGTTATATAATAGACAAAATTGCAAAAATGTTCATGCGGTTTAGTCAAAACTCGATTTTTTTTTGGATTGACGGTCTTTTTGGCCTAATTTCGATGCGTATTTGGTTCATCGGCAAACTAAAATGACTCATTTTTCATGTATTTATTTTTCATTTTATTTTTCATTTTTTCATTTAATATAATATTTAGAGAAATTTCATCAAATAACAATTTATAGAGATTGTTTTAACGATTTAACCATGAAAATCGAAGTTTTGTAGAATGACCACAAGATCCGCAGAGGGTGCTCTGCGGACTGAGTAAAGTCTCTATGGAACCTTGCACACCTTTGCGGAAGTGAAACGGCAACACATAAAGACAAACACAAAAAAATTTCAAGGTTTTAAGGGTTCCGTAGAGGTGTCTCTATGGATCCTATGTTGGGCTCTGCAGATCGCATGAATATTCTAAGGAATTAGTATCTTTTTTATTATTATTTTGATTTTATAATTAAAAATGATTATTAAGCAACAAAAATTATTAAAAAAAGATTATTGAACAAAAATTATTAACAACTCTATTATTTAATAATTTTTGTTTCATGACCATTTTTAATAATTTTTGTTGCCTAATAATCATTTTTGCATATAATATCAAAATAAAAAAAAATATTAATTTCGTAGAGATGAACAACGATCCACAGAGCCCAACATAGGTTTCGTAGACACGCCTCTGCGGAACTGTTAAAAACCCGAAATTCTTTTGTCTTTTTGTGCTGCCATCTCATTTCCGCAGAGGCATGCAAGGTTCCTCAGAGGCTTTAGTTGATCCGCAGAGCACCCTCTGCGGATCTTGTGACCATTCTACAAAACTTCGATTTTCATGGTTAAATCGTTAAAACAACCCCTTATAAATGGTTATTTGATGGAATTTCTCATATGTTTATCTATTTTAGAGGCCCCCTCTCTCTTTCCTATATGCCATTCTCCTGCATCACCTACTGATGAATTTTAAATTGAGAAGATGAACTCCAAATTCTTTCCCACCGACTATCGGTTCAGGGACAATATCAAACCATTCACTTTCTCTCTCTCTCTCTCTCACTCTCTCTCACACACACACACATATATATATATATATATATATATATATATATATATGTGTGTGTGAATGTCCTGCAACCTTCTGTTCTTGGTTAGGTTTGTTGGTTGCAACCATGTCAAACCATCATCTTCATTCGGTGGTGTAGGACACTAGAGAGCAGCTGAAATGGCGTTAGAATGTGGTGGTCGGTACTCTGTTTCCATATCCCCGTCCTACCATGTCGATTCCTCATATCCAACTCTAACCGGATAAAAAAAACCCATGATTCCATATCCAAAATCAATAAAAAAAAGGTTCCAGATCCAAAAAAACTCATTAATGGGCACAAATCGAAGTATCTGAGAAATGCCTACATGCATTTCTACATCCAACCTGGTAAAACTCATCCGGTCTCCAGTCTCCTAAAGAGGTGTATAACATACCTGGTAAAGTGATATTGAGTTGGGAACAAAATTCAAATTGAACTATGGAGTTTGGGAACAAAATCGTAAGCGAAATATGGAGTTTGGGTTTCAGTGGAGAAAGAAGAAGGGGAACGGAACAAAATTAAAATCTAAAGTTGAGATCGTCGTCGGAGGTGTGGATGGAACTTCCATCGTGACCTCGTCCCATGAATTTGGGTTACAAGGGAGGAAGACGTAGACAAAGGGTTAGGTCTGGTCATGGTGGGTCTCATCGTTGATTGTAGATTGTGATTCAAACGAAAAATGGTGAATCTTGAACCCTCATTTCATTTTTTACATTTAAACTTTTCAAAGGTTTGAGACTAATGTGGTTCATTTTGGGAATTTTGTGTGTGAGAGATCTTTTTGTGTTTGAAGTTGCAGATATGGATTTGTTCTGGTATACTCTTGTTCCTAATTGTTTGTATTTCTTGCATAAATAAAAAGTCATCCATGAGAGAGAGAGAGAGAGAGAGAGAGAGAGAGAGAGAGAGAGAGAGAGAGAGAGAGAGAGAGAGAGAGAGAGAAAGAGGTGGGTCCTTTCTTGTTTTCTAATTAACAAATTATAAAAATAAGTATTAAAAATGTAAAAAAAATAAAAATAAAAGAGCATTTTAGTCTTTTTAGTTTTCTGAAGGACCAAAACCAAAAAAACAAATCTAACTCAAAAGGACCTCAATCCAAAAAAATCGAGGTTTTAACCAAACCTCAGAAAAAAATGCATACCACATGGACCATTTTTGTAGTTTTGTCTATATAATATCCATAAATTGGTACTTGTTTATAAATCATTTTTAGGATGATCATATTTATAGCGTTTTTATTGTTGGGGAAATGACACAAATCACTTACAATTTTTTTGGATTGATGCATTTGGTTCTTAAAATTTTTTTGGTGCTTTATGAGCGAATCAACTCGTTTTTGTTGGGTATATTTAGGCATTTTGGAAAAATCGAAGGGGTAAACCGGATACTCCTTTATGCCAACTAATTTATTGTCTACGTGTATCTCACTTTCTCTCCAAATTTGTTTGACTCTATAGGTTTCTTTGACCACCTCTTCACAATTAATCGGGGAGACCAAAACTTCATCCTTTTTTATTTGATTAAACCTCCTACCAAGTGAATGTAAAAGAGTTAATGGGAAGAAAATCCACCAATTGCATCTGATTCAAGCGTCAGAAACTTTATCTTCAAAGAAGTAGCAGTTCTAGGGCTTGAAACTTTACCTTCAAATCTGATGTGAATGAAGAAATTGGAGGTTGAGGTTTGTTCTAATCATAAAATCGGACCAAGGAATTCAATCAAAGCTAGCTGTCTCTGCCGTTCATCGTTCCTCTCTGGCAATAGCCTTTTCTGTTGCTTCTCCCTCTCTCCCAATTGTCTCTCTTTCCTCGCAGTCTAGCGTGTGTGCTTCTCTTTCTGTGTTCGTGAAACAAAAAGGGAAACACACTCACAAACGAAGTGTGTGTGTGTGTGATCATGGCAATGATAAACTAGGAAAAAGAAGAAGAAGAATAAACGCCATCGCGTCGCTCAATGGTATGTGTGTGTTTATGTAATTTTGAAGCAGATTAAGAAAGGCAGAGCTAGATCGAGAAACAAAATAGCAAGAGGAAGAAGATGGCAACATCTTAGTTGTTGCTATTGTCAGTGATATTTGCGACAATGGTGGCTGGAAAGTGGTATGTTTTCCGATGAATAAGAATGGAAAGATGAAGGTGGATAGAGATACACACACACATATATATATATATATATATATATATATATATATATATATATATATATATATATATATATATATTGTAAATGAAAGCTTTGAAGTTAAAATTTGGTTTGGTTTTGTGTGGAAAATTTGGTTCACGATCGGAAGGGATTATCGAAGTCCACTCGTGCTCTTATTGTTTTGAACATTGAAGAATCGAATACATTAGAATTGATACTGCCCAGTGAGCCCACATGTCATGGTTGATGGAGAAAATCTTGCATATTTGGCACTGAAACCTGTTAAAACAGGTCACGGTGACTAAAAAGATTGGTTGCTCCAAGCATTATGCCCCTATAAAGCAAAAAAATAAATTTATGGGCTAAATCTTGCATATGTTTTCCCCTTTTTTGTTTTATTTATTATTTTTTAAGAAAATTTTAAAGATAACATTTCTTTGTAAATTGTATGGTACATATAGCTGGGGATGTGCTTCGGGTCAAAAACGACTAGAACCGGACCGGACCCAAATAACCCGAAGCTTGAATTGGATGAAAAGTTGGAACCGAAACTCAGACCGATGATATTAATACATGACCAATTCAGTTCGGGTAATACAAGTTTCGGTTTGATTATATATTAACCAAAATGACCGAAATAACATATAAACTATGCCTTTGAACCGAAATGACCTGAATAACTAAAATAAGGAAATTCTATATCTAGTTCAAGAAAAAAATATTAAACATTAATGTTTTTTTGGTGTTCAATCACACTAGGAAGTGATCAATGGGAGAAACGTTTTTTTTGGTAGCAAATTTGATGATGAGTCAAGGGAATCGAACTATTGTTTTCGATCACAATAATAAGCGAGGAGTAGCAAAGTAGTCTGTGTGATATCCCTAATTTCACGGCCAGAAAAGACCGATTTAGTTTATGCTTTTATAATAAAATCAGAGTAGTATTTTGATTAAAAGTGTTGCGGAATTTGTTTCCAAAATAAAAATATGATAAAGATTTATCAAATCATTTTCGTAGAAATGTATTTCATTAAAAAGACTCGGGATGTCATGTTCGATATAGATCAGAAGCATAAATAGTACATTATAAGCCTTACAATAGTTATTTACAACTACTGGCCTATAATCCAAAAATCCTTCATCATCATCCAAATCATGCTCTGGGTCCACTATCTGTAAAACAAAAAGCTAAGTGGTCAGGTTTGGGAGCTTGGTGAGCATATAGTGTTTTCAACCCACAAATAATAATAAATTTATTAGTTTCATTAACCAACAATAACCCTGATTACCCATTCATGTTATCCTCACTTTACGTCCCTAAACACTTATACAAGGGACCTAGTCTAAGGATTTTATCATCGGGATGTACTTTACTGCTAAGGGGATTCCTCAGCCATATATGTCCGTAAGGCAACTATGAGGGGGATGGAGTACAACGATGAACATCAAGCCCACAAACACCTACAGGTTGCGAGCCTGCCACCGTTCCACTGGACTGTCTAGAAGAGTCCGTGGTCGTCATTCATACTCCGCTAGATGATGACTGGAATACCAACAATATTGAGGCCTCTTATCATTTTATCACACACCAACTATTTCATCTACCCATGTTATACCCAACATATTTGTAGATATATATATGTATATATATATATATATATATATATATATATATATATATATATACAGTTTAAAACTTGTATAAAACATCCATTCAACATCCATCTCTAATAAACCAACAATATATATACACATAACATGTATTTTATAGAAAAATACTTCATAGTTATGTGTAAGATGAAAGTGACTATACACTCACTTGATTTAATGATAATTGGACAACACTTCGTTTCTTAAAATGATCGTTTCTGATAAAACCGGGGGCTTTAATGAAAAACCGGGCTCTGCGAGGTTGGAGCTTCAAAACCGAAAAGATAAAATTTTCTGGGTCTTTGGGCACTTCGAGACGCGTTTCGGGTGTTAAAAAATGATACAGGGGCTTCGGGAAAAGTCGACATAGTAAAAATATGAGTTTAGGGGTGAAAAATGACAATTTTCTAATTCTAGCCGGAAGATCTCGCAACCCCCTTATTTATAGGGTGAGAGACCGAGGATTAGTGGCTAAGAAGGCTCCACATAGCAGTTGTGAGGCTTGGATATGGAGGAGAGACGTGGCTTGGTTCGCAGGTTGACACAGAGAAGGCACGCGTCGGACCACAGGCTGCACACGCATGCGAGCTCGGAAGATGCCATCGATGCGAGGCGTGTCGGTATCCTATTGGACCTCGGCTTCAGATGAATCAGCGGCTGACACGAGGCGAACACGGGTCATCTCGCATGCGAGGTGATGTGGCCGAACACCAGCCATGCGAAATTCCTCGGATTTCAGACTTTTCTTGATCTTTGTGCAGCGAACTTCTAAAATCCATAACTTTTACATACGGGCTCCGTTTTTGATGTTCTTTATATGCACGCGTAGGTGAAGTTATGCTCTACAACTTTCATTTGGACTCTGTTGGCTAATTTTGAATTTATTTTTAATATTATTATTTTTAACAGACCGGGACAGGAAAATCTGTTAAAAATTCATAACTTCTTCATCTGACGTCCGTTTTGTCAGTCTTTTTACCGTTGTACTACTATTGATGAGACCTTCGATTCTCGTTTAGGTTGTTCGGCTAAAAATCACTTGATCTAAAATTCAAGTTTTTAGCTGTCTATTGCTAAGTTGAAACTTACAAAAATCATAACTTCCTAATATAAAGTCAGATTTGTGCGTTCTTTTTATATACACTCTCGGTTTAATGAACACTGCGACTTTCATTTAGATTGCTAAGGCTAAAAAGCACTTTATTGTAAATTCACTTTTTACGCTTCCCGGTGCCGTGCCGGTTCCGTCGCGAAACTTCGATAGATCATAACTTCTTCGTTATAACTCAAATTTCGGTATTCTTTATATCTCTAGAATCCTTGTTTCGGCCACTACAACTTTCTTAAAAGATAACGACTTTATCTAATATTTATTTTCAATGCTTATTTTTATTATTAATTAATTAAATCATAATAATTAAGCAAATAAGCACACATAATATTCACATAATTCCTCTTTATTACTTCAAAATGAGTTACAAATGTTGACCTAGACTATTACACTATCATTAATGCTTTAGCCCAGAAACACGGGCATTACAGTCTGTTAGGGCGACAAATTCTATATGTTTTTTTTAAACTTCGATCGGTATTGGCTGCCATCCAATGGGTGGGTATGGAAATACACAAGAGCTAAAAGGAATCAATCAAGTAACTATTCAATTTTCATGTTGGTCCTATTGGCCTGATTAAACCTTTATTCGGGTAGCTCAAACGGAATAACCTGAGAATCGAATTGGGCTAAAATAGATACCCTAGAACCAACCAAGATAACTTATTCGGGACTAATTTGAATCGGTTCAGGTTTTGGTTTCGGTTTGGGTATTCAGTCCAAATACACATATAACAGCTAGATTATTATAAAAACTATAATCTACTATGATGTATTGGGATTACATGCCTCTTTTATACATCATTAACTTTTTTAAAGTTTAGATTTTTGTTAAAAGATTATTTAAATTTTAATTTTAATATATACTACAACAAAAGTTCGTTGTAGTCGACAATAACAACCATGATCTACAATGACAACACACATGTGGTAGGAATGGGGCTTGCAACAATTAAGGCTTTATTTCACAATAGGTGTTTTTTCTCTTGTAGTGCATGAGTTTGAAAAGCTTAGTGGTGCAGTCGCTTGTTTCCTTCTTTTCTTGCAGAGCATAACAGGTTGCTCCTCTAAGAAACTTATTGATTTGAACATAGGTAGAGTACAAGGGTGAGTGGTTTTAATTGATAGATTCCAATTTTTTTTTTGTCTAAATGGAAAGCAAAACTGCTTTTAGTTGGTGGTAAATCGATGCTCCTTTCATATGTTCTTGGGTCATTTGTATTTTATATGCCGTTTTATGGCAGTTCAAGTCAAGAAAAAACTAGAGTCTCTCAACGCTATATTTTAAGTGGTGGTCAAGGTGATAATCGAAAAATGCATTAGGTTAACTTGGATTTAGTGATCGCCCCAATGGATCAAGGTTGTATAGGAATTGGTAGTTTGGAAACTTTAATCATGCTCTCCTGCAAAAATGGAGGTGGCGGTTTGTTAATGAAAGTCGAACCCTCTAGGTTAAATTTATCAATGCAATTTATGATAATAAAGCTATAAACTTTGTGGGCGATTCTCGACATACACGCGACAACTTGTGGTCTAGGATCTTTTACGCCACCAAGTGACATAATATGCCATTAAGTGATAGGATATGCCACTAAGTGACAACATACGCCACCAAGTGACATGATATGTCATTCATGATGTGGAAGCACCACTCATCCATAATGTGGAACTTTCATCCATAATGTCGAAGGATTATTTAAGCTTCTGCCAAGTAAAAGGTTTCAACCAATAAGGATCGGTCAGTAATTATGTTTCAAAAGAAACAACAAGGTAGTCATGGAATGGAAGTGTTATGGTCAGTCGGTATGCGATGTGGAATTGTATTATCAGTATTTTAACATGGGCTATCTGTCAGGGAGTCAAACATTGCTTAGAGTTTCAAATTCCAGACATAATGGTAATGGTTATTTTTCAAGGGTCTTTGATGAAGTGTTCTAGTTATTCGGTGTGGCTGGTAGGTAGTAAGGAGTGATTTCGAGGACGAAATCTAATTTAAGTGGGGGAAAGTTGTAACATTCATTTCCTTGGATGAATCGAGTTAGGGTTTTGGAGGGTTAAAAGTTTGGATTTTTATGAAAAGGGGGTCCTCACGACGTGAGGAGGGCCGCATGAAGATTTCATACGAGATTGTACTCACGACGTGAGCAATAAGAGCTCACACCGTAAGGAGAGTTGATGTCCAAGCCTACGAAGTTTTAGGGTTTCTTTCGTATTTAATCCCTCTTATTGCGGTTTTTTGGGTTCATTTCTCAGCCTCCACCTTCCCCTAACTCAAAAAACCCTAACCCTAGCCTTTTTTTTGTGTTTCTTGAGCTGTTGGTGGAGTTTTGGTGGTTTACAGTGGAGGATATCACCATGGAAGCATAGTTGCAGTTGGAAAGCCTCATTTGCAACCTTTAGCTACACTTCTGTACTAATGTGAGTAATCAAGATCCAAGTTAACTTTATGTTTCCTTGTTGCTAGATCTAAGGTTTTATGCATATTTCTCCAAGATTTTAAAAGTTGGAGTGTTGGGACTCCATAAAGTTGGCAACTTTATGGGCCCTTAGGGTCCCTAGATGCTTA